CCAAGACGTGCTATTTCAAATCCGGGGCCAGCACCAAAATAATCTTGCTAATTTCAGAGGCCAAAAATTTTTAAAGTTCAAATATCTAGTGTCTCACAGACTATTTCAGGATGGTGTTTGCGTCCATCCCGAATTTCTTCACAGGCTTCAGGGCACTGAAATCACATCATTCCACTTAGCAACACACATTTCCTCCTTCCATTCTGACCTGATTTTAATAGCTAGTCTCTTGGGATCTGTATGCCTAGAACTAAGGCTGCTCAGAGAGTAGAAGGATTACCCCCAAAATGTTTCCTCCCAGGAGGGAGGATGTTCAAAGGTAAGTATATATACCAATGGACTGCTCTGCTGCTGTTGCTTTCCCTGGGAACTAGAAGAAGCCCATGCCTGAGGAACATACGCTAGCTAGAAAGTGCAGAGACTCTCTGCAGTTTGCGAGGCAGGCTGTCATTATCTAATGTCCTGAAAGATTAGGAAAAGACTGGTTACCGGAAAAACTCTCAGGGTATTGCGAACCCTCTACCTGCAAGTTGTGCACCAGCCCCCGTGCAGGCCAGGACACACTGAATGGGGTATTTCTCCAGGTCAATGCGGTTTTACTGCCTCTCTCCCTCTATGGGATTGCACTGGCCAACTATCTGCAGCAGAGGAGACAGCAGCATCTTGCTACAGCCATAAGTTGTCAGCGCCACTTCAGGGGACTGAATAATGGGGAAAGGAGAGCAAATCTCATGTTGATCAAGTGCAGCCGGATGGACTTGTGAGGTGGTGCTTGAAAGGCAGGCCGACAGCAGAATGACCTGACTCTGAACTCAGTCTTTTTCTGCTTAACTTCTTAGGGCCAGAATAGCCTTGTAGGCCTTGCCTGGAGAAGAAATCAAAGGGGTAGGGCGTATCTGAACTGCTGTTCAAATCGGCGGCTGCTCTGTGAAAACTGCTGAGGCTTTACAGTGCTGACAGTTGATAGCACGGAGCAGAAAGCTGTGGCCTGTTTGTCAGACACGCTGACCTTTACCATAGGTTAAAGGTCTGACACAGAGTTGTACAGCTGCAAAAAGGCTGGCAGATCAGCGCCTGTCCTTTCCGAGCCTTCGTTGTCTTCGGGATCGGAAAGGAAACGTTTTGATCCCTGACCTCCAGCTCTGACACCCAATACTTCCTGCTGCGCCCGTCCTAAGCTCCAGCACGGCTTTGCCAGTGTGGCTTCAGCCTGGCCTGCAGCACCCCCTGCCACCCCAGTGCAAAGGGCTGCTCCAGGGGTGGACTCAGCGCTGGGTGCAGCCTTCAAATGCTCCAGGGAATTGGGACCTGCAGGGATGCAAGCCTTGCTTTCCTCTCTAGATGGTGCTCTTAAGACAGGCAATGGCCAGGTTCCCCCAGTTTAAGCCTTGCTGCTAAATCTCACTGTGCAGACAGGGTCCTGCAGACAGGCATGTAAGGGCGTCAGGGAGGATTGAACTTGGCAGAAGGAGGAACCACCCATGTGTAGCCCCTCCGGGAACTTTCTACCATCTGAGCTCCTTCTGGTTTTCAGTTGCCAGCCCGGCATACCTGGCTGTGGCACACCATGCCACAGATTGCTGCATCTATGGATTTCATACTGTTTCCCCTTCCTTGTGCTATAGTCCTTACTTGCCTGAAGGCCTGTTGCAATTGCCCTCCAAGCCAGGCCCTACGCCACCCAATGCCCAAGTGCTGAATTCAGCTCTGCCCAGGCCCAGCATCCTGTATTTTTTCCTCTCCCCCTTTTCCACAGCCTGGAATAGTTTGTCCCAACTTGGTGGATTTAGCACACGGCTGGTGCCTCTGGGGTTTTCCAATAGTGGCACTCCATTAGGGCCCAACTCTGCTCTTACCACAGTCAATGGCAAAAGTCCCATTGACTTAGCAGGAGCAAGAGCAAGCCCTTAATGGCTTCTGAAGGGAAGGCTTTTTTTTTCTCTGACAGTTAAAACCATGGCCACTTTATATTTCCCATATGAAGCTGGGAGAGACCTCAGGCACTCCTGCAAAGAAATAGATGGCCTGCTGAAGCTTGAAGTAAATAGAAGAGGTATTTTGCCACATTGGGATCAGTAGCCTTAATGCAGGAGACAGGGCAGCATGCTCCACGGCACTCCTAGACACAACCAAAACAGAACTGGTTGAAAAAGAACGAATTTGTTCTGAAGCAAGAACATTTTCAAAATCATTTCCTGATCACGGAAATCCAAACTCATTCTCTCCCTGTTTGAGATTATTATAATGTTTCTTGAAAATAATTTTAGCCTCAGTGTGTATCAAAATATTTTGCTGAGCAAGTTTTGGGTGAGTTGAAAGGTGCCAATGATGGTTTCTTTTCAAAAGAGTTGACTAAAAATGTCACCAAAAATAAAACATGAAACAAATTTCTCAAATGTCTTTTAAAACAACAACAGTATTCATTTGAAAACTGGCAAGAGAGCAGTGTAGCTAGTTGTCATGGGGTGGAGGATCTGAACCAGTGCCTGCCTGGATCTTATTCACAGGGAAAAAGTCCTTCCTCTCCTAGAATAGCTTTCAACAATAAATCAAAAAATAGCTCAATGGTAAGACAGGGAAAGAAATAAAGGTTGTGCGTGGATAAGCAGTGTCTCCCTCCATAAAAGCAAGCTGCCAGCTCCTCAGAATTAGGGGGAAAGTCTTGAGGAAGCGTTCCTTCCAGCAGACACTGTAGGAGGGAGCCATGGAGATACTGTGCCCTGGCGTGCAATAGGACTGTCTTCCCTGGAGAGCATCGGGTAAGGAAGTGTCACCTGCTTGAAAGGTGATGCTCCACGTATCACATGCACCAGTCCCATGGCCAAAATATCAAGTGTTCCTGTGTGTCATTGGGTGTATTTATAGTTGTGAATGGCTGCGAGATTTGATTTGCAGACCCCTTAACAATTTCCATTCTTCCTTACAGCAACCAAAGCCTTCCAAGCTGGATTGTCCTAGCAGCCTTTCACGGGCCGCGCTAAAGGAGCCCCCAAAACACAGCCGGAGGGCTGCTAGCCGAGGTGAACGCCGCTGTCGCATGTGGTTTGTGTGTATGTTCTTGGGTGATTTTAGGATGAAGTTGTGTCACAGGGTGGTTTATGCTGGCACATATGGCATATGCACGTGGGCATGTGCAGTGTGTAGTTGTGGGCCAGTATTTTGTAATTTGAGCATGCAGGTACAGAGGTACCTGTATAAGAAGTATATATGTACGTAAGTACCGCCATGCACCAGCAAAGCACTTGGGGCATGAGCGCCTCTTACAGAGGCAAAAGAGTGCTTCTTACCAGAGAGCGACTGCACCACACCGCCACGTGGGCTTACCTGAGAAACATGCCATTTTGGCAACGTAACTACAGCTCTCGGAAGA